ACCTAGAAAATTCTGCTATTTTGCTGCTGTTTTGCTATTGTTTTTAGGCAAAAAAATTCTGCTATTTTACTGCTGTTTTGCCCATGAATTTGCTGCTGTTTTACCTAGAAAATCCCTGCTGTTCTATCCTAAAACAATATCTGATTTCCGCTCCTATTATCCATTTCTGTTGCCTTGGTTCTAATTTGTTTAGCTTTTGAAAAATATATATAAATATCTGCTACTTGAAAACATGTATTGTTGCTCATTTTTATGCTGTAATAGCAGCACTTGTTCACGTGATTTTCTGCACTTAAATCATGCACAAGTTGTCCAGATTTTAAGTTCGTTTAGCTACAACAATTCTTGCTTAAAGGCTGTCCATTTCTACCCAGTTTTAACCCGTTTTCTGTATTGTTTCTGCTGTTTTGCCAAAAATTCTGCTAGTGTCTAGTATAGTTTTGGTTTTGGTTTTTCACATTTTTTTTTTTACTTGGTTTTGCCTAGCAAATTTGCTTGGTAAATCTGCCTTTGTAGTGTCCTTTTAGGAGCTGTTTTAAAAAGGGTAGAGGTGATCGGGATGTATAGGAAGAAGTTGCTTCGTCATTTAGGAAACTTGATTTTGGGTTAGGAACCAAATTAGTTAATGAATATGTTGTAATCCTTTTGTACTTTGATGTGGCATAGGTTGAAAATCTCGTCAATTGCCTTGAGATTCTTGAATTTCTTGCTAGTGTGTATTTATAAGGTGAGGTAAGTAAATTTGTGGTAATGCCCTTGGATTTTTAAGGTAAATGTTTTAAAAGCATATTTGAGCTATTTTTGAGATGTTGGCGGGATTTAACTCGATTTTCATTAGCACGAGCATGATTGGTTTAAAATGATATTATTTTATTGAGTTGAACATGCCTACATGAAATTTACTCGATTGTTTTGATGATCTGAAGTTAGTTTGTGAATTTTGAATTTCCTATAAACTATGCATGGTTTTGTCTCCAATATAATCATGAATTATGTTATCCTGCTAGTGGGAGTTAAACACTAGCACATGTCAACATGTATTTCTGTAGAATCAGTTCATCCAACCAGTGGGAGAGTACATTGGCATTTTCTGCTATCCAGCTAGTGGGAGAGCACATTGGTATTTTTGTTATCCAGCCAGTTGGGAGAATACGTTGGCCATGACTAATTGAGAGGACCATTAAATAGATTCCAGCATGCATAAATGATTGGTTTATAACTGGGATTTTCTTTCTGTTTGAAATTAAAATGTTTACTCGGCATGCTTAAAAATTTTAGTGAGGGCTATCCATATTTTACTCACTGAGTTGTCTCACCAGTTTTTCCTTATCCACCATTTCGGGTAGTGTGACCCGAGACGCGAGAAACCAAGGGGAGTGACAAGCTAGAAGGCTAGTTGTATTTTTGTCACGCCCCAGAACCCAAATCCGGAGACGCGACAAACGCCGTGCACTCGTGAGACGAGTCCCACGAATGCACAAGACTCAAAACTTATCCAATTCATAATCTGATACCACAAAATCTCAAGATCAAATTTTTACAATCTGTTCTGATATCATAAAATCTCCAAATACACTCTAGCTTACAGGATCATGACTTATTTCTAAATCTATGTCAATCTCGAAATGGCTAGCCTTCTAACTCGTCACTCCCCTTGATTTCCCCGTACTTGGTTTCACTTCCTGAAATGGTGGACAAGGAAAACTATGAGATAACTCAGTAAGTAAATATGGATAGCCCTTTGGTAAAACTTTTAAGCATGCCAGATAAACAGTTTAATATGACCAAAACACTCAATGAGAAAATCAGATTCAATTCAATTGTAAAGCATTCATGACAAACCGTTCATGCAGAATAAAACTCAGTTCAGTAGTCTCATCTATAAGTCATGGCCAGTGTTTAACAAACTCCCACTGGCAGGCGTTAGTAATAGTGCCAGTGTTTACACACTCCCACTGGCAGGCGTCAGTAATAGTGCCAGTGTTTACACACTCCCACTGGCAGGCGTCAGTAATGGTGCCAGTGTTTACACACTCCCACTGGCAGGCGTCAGTAATGGTGCCAGTGTTTACACACTCCCACTGGCAGGCGTCAGTAATAGTGCCAATGTTTTATCCCATTGGCAGGACGAACCGATTCTACAGAAATACATGTCGACATGTGCTAGC